CTGTTGTCTAAGCCTAAGCTCACTGTTTAGAAGCTCTAAGCCAAAACTCCCAACCCTACACCCTGATCCTGAAACCCCTAAACGCTCTGCAATACACGCAAGCCACTTGCATCCCTGCAGCATCCCCATTTCATCCTTGCACACCTACAGAATGCCTAGAACCCTGAACAGTAACCAAAGGGGGTGTCCTGAACATGTTTCTCTAAAAGCAAGTATGTCATTTCTGCTCATTACTCTGGATCCCTAATAAAGCTATTACTGGTATGTCAACATGAATTTGGGGAGGGTTTCAGAGCAGGTGCAGAACTCCCGAAAACTTGGAAATGTATACAACTCTGCCACGGCTGCCAGAGCGAGTTCATCAAATCTGGGCTGCGGCGCAAGTGCAGGCCGGAGATGTGGAGAGCCACTACCTGGGGGTTTCCCAAAATTAGGGGTCCCCATGATGAGGACTACAGTATATCAGGGTCTATATCGGGGCCCCTGGACTCCACACCCCAAAGGTATGTAGACTATAACTGCCATGTTTCATTCCTTAACGGTTTCGGTGCTTATTGGTTTACCCCGTCTTGAGATCTAGTTCCTGGGTTCCACCAGCAACAAACACCATGCAAGTGAGCCACGGTGTTCATTTCGTAGTGCACCCTCAAATCCTAGGATTTAGGCCCTATAAGCCCTTTTTTAAATTGCAGGCCAGGACAACACCCATCAGTTGCACACGAGACTTTGGCGTCTCCTTCGGGATGTATGATACATGTTACATATGTTTCCGAGTTCTCGTCCTTTTTGGGTGGGTGGCATCTTACCATTCTTTTTGGCAGCCCTTTCTGAGGAGGTCCCAGTTGGGGCAATTCACAGATTGCGCAGTGTCAACCCCAGATCCAAGATCCAATGCCCTGACCCTGAGCCTAAACTTCAACATCCAGAGCTCCAAGCCCTGAACTTCAAAATCCGACACTCCGAGCCCTACATTGCGCATTTCCAACCTTGAACAGCAATTTTCAAAGTATAGACCTGAATACAGTGTAGTGCGTATTATGCTTACCTAGAAAGGGAGCTTGGTTTTGAACATCTTCCAAATCTACTCTGTCAGGGAGACTCACGCTGAGATGGCTGCCTTGCCGCTTATCTGCTTACTGAGCATCTTGTTGGTACTTGAAAGCCTGCATGACCTTTGAATACAAAACCCTTAGACCTTCAGGGAGCTTTGCATGGTAAGATGATAGTTTTCCAAAATCAGCGTACCCCAATATAGACCCCAATATACTATAGTCCTTATTATAGGGATCTCCAAAAAAGTACCCACAATTTTGGGAAACCCCTCGACCAAAATCCCTAAACTCTATATACCCCTATATAACCCCTATAAACCCCTTGATAGAGTATCCCTATTTTTGGGAGACGTGGGAGGCCGTAAACCTGGAACTGGCTACCTCAATCCCGTTGTGAAAACTGCCTTCGGTACCTCACATCAGAATGATAAAGGAATCGTCACTATACGCATGTATCTGTATAATACATATACACATACATTTATTCATGTTTGTATACGGGTGAAGTGATGAAGCAATGCCATGTTTGTATATTAAGGTCATGTCTAATGTTAGCACTCGATCCCCTAATGGTATGTTCTCAGTGTGCTATACTACAATATGTAGGGATCTCGAATATTGGTGTGAGGGGGTTTGATATTAGGGGTGGTGATTATATCAACTATATCATTTAAGGCTTAGGTCCCTAACCCTAAACCCTCAATAGAAAGACGTTGAGAAACCCCAAGATCCCTCAACGCCAAACGAAGAGAAACATCCCAAGGCCCAAACCCTCTTTTGAGGGCTTAGGGTTCGGGGCTTATGGTTCAAGGACCCGATTCTTGATGGTTTTTGGTACCAGGACCATTCAGATCATGTTTGTGTTGGGAACTTAACATGTGATAATTTGATGATACTTCTTATGATACGGACTCCCCAAGAACCCCAAGAACCCCCTGCCCCCTCCCCACCCGCCCCACCGACCCAGTTGTTGGAAGCCCTTATCCATATTAACGATCATACAAGCCAGCTTCAAATTGACTTTGCAATTTTTGCTCTCCATCATCATGTTAATCCTAAACACCAAACCAATACCCTAATTTCGGAACCTGAAGAAGCCCGGATGTTTTTTGGTCCCTAGATAACCCTGTATACAGCTCTAACCCAGTGACAGGAAACCTTAGGGGGCCTACAAGTGCTAACATTGAGCTATAGTCTAAACTCCTAGTATCCCCATTAATCACCCCTATAGTACTCCCCTATCTAATCCCCTACATCCCCCAGCTTGAGGAGTTTAGGCCCTGAACCCTAAATTCTAAACCCTATGTATCCCCTATATAACCCCCCTCCTTCAGGAGTTTAGACTATACCCTAAGACTTAAACCCTATAGCTCATGTGAGGCTCGACCGGCTGCCAAAATTCTTGGCTCGCAGCTTAGGAGTTTGAGTTTAGGCGATTTAGGGTTTAGGGGTTTACCTAGACCACCTCGTGTTGCACGTATATGGCTTGTATGGAGACTATATGGGGATATATACAGATGTAGGAAAAAGTGCTACTCCCTTTAAGGCTAAGTACCTACTTCTGCATACATATAAGATACGTACTGGACATAAAGTTGGGTAAGATTAACAACGGTCCGGATGTAAGGGTCTTTTTTTCATGGTTTACGATTTGGTGATTGGAGGGTTTGGGGTTCCAACTGGTTTTTGCCCTGCCGGGTTCAAAGTTGCCAAGCAGGCCGTTCCCTTGTGACCACAAGGTCCACAGGTTGGAATTGTGAGACCTCTGACATGCCTTGCAGGAGGGGTTGAACATAATCTCCGCGAAATGAATTTGGTCTCCCGTATTCAACCGCAAGGTGAGCTTCCAACTGTCAACCCAGGCGACGCAAAATACTCTGCTGCCACAAGCGTGGACAATAGGTCCTCTGCAAGACCTTGACTAGTGGCTGCTGCCCTCCTGATGTTCTTCTCAAATTACCGACTGGAAGCTTCTTAATTTGCTCTCACGGGTTCCCAGGTCCCCCTATTTCCTGCAGGCCCCAAGTGTCCCGTTGGGGGTGGTCAAAGTCATCCGAGGTTCTTGTATGCCGGTCTCGTTTTCGTTGTTCCCAGATTAAAGGTTTGTCCACCTACCATTTTTCATATGGAGAGCGGTGGAAGTTAGAAGTTATGGGCACATTTTGGAGTGGTATACTGAAGATTCGACCCCACAGAAGACCAGAACTTTGTCTTAACCCGTGGTATCAATTTCTACGCCCACATCCTGGCATGAAGGCCTTGACAAAGAATGCCCAAGAGTCGGCAGCTGCTTTGGGCGAGCAGCGGCAGAAGTTCATCAACCATGTGAAGCTCTGTTCTTGGCTTTCCTTGATGCGTTCTGTTTCTTCTACGGGAGCTTTCAGCCTTACCCTGCGGATCCAAGTATGCAAATAATGCCTACATTGGGCCCTAAAGTTTATAAATATAGCCTACACTGGGCTATTTGGATCCTTAAGGCTACGCTATTAGAAGATCCTGAAGTTCTGGGCCCCATTTTAGAGAACTAGGCCTGTAGTGCTCAAATGGCATCCTCAGCGGATCTTCTGGGTCTCTACGGTTTTCATAATCCCTAAGGGTCCAAGGACCCAAATAATAGGGTTTTCGGGCCCAAATACTATACTATAAATGGTATTTGGGCCCTAAAGCCCTATTATTTGGGTCCTTGGACCCTTAGGGAATGATCTGTGACCA